GTGCGGGTCCTTCTGAACACTTGGGCGGGTCCTTGGGGCAATTCGGTTCGCAGTCAACTGGTTCCGCGAAGTACTCTCGTTTGTTCCTGACTACCGCTTGCAAGGAGAGACTGCGCCTTTTACAATCTGCGATGAAAGAAGTGAGCGACAAGTCTGAGGTCATGAGCGATGTCGTCGACCGACTGTTGCATTGGTCATCGCCAGCCATCCGGTCAGAGTTTGGGGATGGTGTGGCGTCGAGGATCGAGAGAACACTACCGGTCGGCAGTCGTGCAGATGTGTTTCGTCTCGGAGCAGGAGGGGATAATTTGACAGCGGACGCTGAGGATGATGGCGAGCGTGAGGGTGAAGGGAGCGGTGAAGGCAATTGCGGGTCATTTTGTGGGTCGGATGATTCACTACCGCGTCCAGGGTACGGGTCACAGCGTGGCCGCAGATCGCGCGGGCGGCCACCAAGCCGTGGCAGGTCGCGTTCGCGTTTCGAACATGTACGTCCTTTGTGCTGGGATGATTCGAAGGATGGTGCTTTGCAAAGCGGACTGAGCAATAATCGGTCTGCACATGTGTTCGAATCGATAGGGCACAAGGAAGGCTCGAAAGCGCATGATGTTGTCTTCATGGAGCCGGTGAAGTTGTTGCAGTTGCTCGGGTTGTTCGATTTGAGTTTCCCGCGCCACGGGGCCGGTTGTGCTGTGGATGTGTCCTCTGTTGGTTATCTTGGGCAAATTTGTCGTATTTCGCTCGCTTGTAAGAAGTCCTGTCGTTGGACATGGCACAGTGCACTGGTTGTGGGAGCTGTGTACTCTTGCAGACTTCAGCAGCAGTCGTTCCATGCGACCGTCACTGCGGGTATGACATATACCGTCCTCGACGACTTCTGCATCGTGCTTGGGGTGGCACCTGTGCACAAGCCCACTTTTTAGAGTTGCATGCGCGGTGAGCCGAATGTGCGTGAGGGTTGGAATGCAAAGGTTGTCAGGCAGGGCGTGCGGTATTGCGACTTGGCCATTGACACAGTTATGTGATCAGGGAGACCCGCCACTTTGATGGTTGACGGTCGCTACGACTCGGCCAGGTCTGCGCAGCATTGCACTATTACCGCGATTGAGTGTGATACTCGTCTTGTGGTGGGTGTTCACACTCTTCGGCCAAAAAACGAGGGAAAGGCGTCGAACCAACTTGAGGCTCYTGCTGTTGTGCGCCTGTTGAGAGGCTTGCTGTCGAGGGGGTTGAAGATCCGGTGTGTTGTCTCCGACGATTGTGATGCATTGGATCCACAGTTGGAGCGCCTGGGTATTGAATGGCAKAAGGATTGCCATCATWAGGTAAAAAACATTCGCAAGGCACTTAGAAAAGTCGTGACACTGAAGGTGCCAAAGAAATTGAACAACCCTCATCAGTGCGTGTCGGAATCTCAGTTTATGCACTTCACGGAGAAGGAGCTGTTGGATGCCTTGATGGACCGTTTTGGACCAGGGTGTCTGACGGCAAAATAAGAACGATTGAAGAAGAGTGACTTCGTCGCTGTTGTGATGAGCAAAATGTACCCGTACGACACGATGAAAAACAACAAATCCTTGGTCGTGGATGCAAATGGTGTGGCTGAGTTTCATATGCATGAGGTGGGGCATTGGTTTCTTCTACTTCCCAGCTTTGCAGAGATGAGGGCGGCGACTTTGTCACTCTGCACAATGATGTCATGATGATCGCTGACCATTGGGTCGGGGACCACTCCAGGTGCGTTGCGGACAAAGAGCTTTTATGCTCAAAGGCGGGTGGCCCATCTCGGTTGCCTCTGTACACGCACGACGACCCCRTGTATGACATCATTCACCAGACGTTGGGCAGGCATTGCAGCACGACCGTTTGTTCGTACTACACGGAGTTCCGTCACACGTCGACGATTGAGACGTTCCAGGGCACAATCATCATTTACGCAAAGAAGGCCTTGCACTTCGAGAAGTCGTATGAGTCGCGTTTGGCGATTGCAGTCATTGGATGGAACAGTCATGCATGGCAGGATCCCTTGGAGTATCGTGTCCGCAGGCCTTCTGGGACTTCGATTCGTCCAAGGCCGAGCCACTACCGTCACAATCGGCCACTTACCGATTCGTGGATGGATCGGGTGTCCACGTTCATCTTCGGTTCAAAATGCGTTTCAGATTGGGCTCGACGCCTTCTCGAGTACGACGACTGTGATATGTCGGGCGAGGTCCGGTCATCGACACCTCCTCTGCCTCGCGATTTTTTTTGCAGAGGCGAGGATACCATTGCCCGTGACGAGGACGAGGTTGCTTCAGGTGCGGATCCTGACGTTGTGGGGGATGACGATGTCTTCATCATTGGCGACGGGGATGGGTTGCCTGTACCGGCGGATGCCGTGTCCGATCGATCATGCGATTCTCTATCGGATGCAGATGATGTCGAGTTGTTCGATGACTGACATTATGTTATGTCGTAGTATCTTGTACATGCGTCTTTTTTGTCTGTTGGCTTTTTAGTTTGACGTGTTAATTATATATATATATATATATATATATATATATATTTGCTCAGTCTCTCTCTCTCTCTCTCTCTCTCTCTCTCTCTTTCTCTCTCTCGAAAAATGACCTCTCTGCCATGTCGCTTTGTCTACCTCTTCTTCACACCGTAATTTGTTTTGTAATTGTATTTTTTTTTCGATTTTTTTTTTTTTTTTTTTTTTTCTTCTGTCGTCGAATATTTTTCTTCGGCGGTTTGTTGTCGTTCACCCAACGTTGCTACCAACGTCGATTCGACAGCGCCCTTTCCTCTCTCTCTCTCTCTCTCTCTCTCTCTCTCTCTCTCTCTCTCTCTAAGTGGAGGCGCGCTGTACACGTCTGATAGATAGATCCCGACAAGTACGAACGACCTTTATAGATAGATAGATATATATATGTATATATATATATATTGTCAAATAGAACTGCCCGGTAAACCGTAGGCAGAGAGGGAGAAGAGGACAACAAACGAGGGGCTGTGACAAACTGTTTCGTCGGAGTTTCTATATATATATATATATATATATATATATATATATATA